AACTGTGACAGGTGTCTGGCTACATAATACATGCATATCACAGTACAATGTGGGGATCAAATTAAATTCTTAGACATTCTAGATGACTAATCAAATAGATAATGTAAATATAACAGGAAAGCCTCAATATAGCGTTCACTTAAGGAATAAGGCTGGCCCTTACTACTGTGTAATTGTTGAGCAAAGAAGAGAATATATAGTTTCAGGCTCAATTTCAGATTGCCCAGGAGGGGTGCCATAAATACATCCTTGAAAGAATGCTTGACAGCTTATAGTGTCTGGAGGCTTAGGTTTGAGGGTCCTTCCAGACACAGAGCCTTCGTCCATTCGTTCCTTGTACATATATTTACTGAGCTTCTATTCTCTGTGTCACGCCACTTGGTGAACAGACAAAAGGTTCTCATTTCCCTCCGTTCCCATTTCTTGGACAAATGGTGTAAGGCATTTTAGCAAAGAAGGACAACTTTTTATTCATTTATTCTACTTGTGTTGGATAGTCTATAATGCAGATGGACTGTTAGGAGATCTGTTTTTTATTTATTTATTTTTTTATTTTTTTTTAACTGTTTTTTAATATAATTTATTGTCAAGTTGATTTTCATATAAACACCCAGTGCTCATCCCCACAAGTGCCCTCCTCCATGCCCATCCCCCACTTTCCCCTCCCCCACCCCCATCAGCCCTCAGTGTGTTCTCCATGTTTAAGAGTCTCCTATAGTTTGCCTCCCTCCCTCTCCTTAACTATTTTTTTCCCCTTCCCCTCCCCTGTAGTCCTCTGTTAAGTTTTTCCTGTTCCACATGGGAGTAAAAACAGATGAAGGTATCTGTCTTTCTTTGCCGGACTTATTTCCCTTAGCATAACACCCTCAAGTTCCATTCATGTTCTGGCTACAGATGGCCAGATTTCATTATTTCTCATTGCCATGTAGGAGATATTTAAACAAGGTATCATCTCTGCCCTCAAAAACCTTGCAAACTTGTTTGTTCATTAATCATTCATTCATTCAAAAAAGTATGCCTTCAGCCAGGCAGCGTGCCAGGCCCATGCTAAGGAAATAGCGAGGCAACAGTAGCACCCGGTTAACTCCTAAAGGGCTGTAAGTCCCAGCCTCAAGGGGAAAGCGCTGGTAACCACTTTAGGAGAGTACAGAGTGTGATCTCTGCCCATGGTTTTGGGTTGGGGCGAAGGGAGCACAGAAGTGGGTTTTCCTAAACTAGCTCTCAGGAGGGTGGCTCTTGTCTGACTTTTTAGTTGGCGCTGGAGAGAAGGGATGGTTTGGAAAGGAGTTCGGTCCCAGGAGACAGTACACGAGAAGATAAGGGGACGGGGACACCGTGACAGTGTACAAGACTGCATGTGCTGTGTTTTGATTTGGCTGTAGAAGGAGGTAGATGAACTATAATGTAGTGAAACAGTGGCACATAAATGCCAAGAACTAAAGCCTTGTAATATTGGCGCAGTAAATAGTTCAAGGAAATAGTCAGCCCACAAACAAGCAATAAAATACGTATCACAGATTAAAAGGGTGTTAAGTAACAAATAATACTGGGACAGTTAATAAGCTATTCAGAAATATAATAGATTCTTTACTCCTCATGATTTTTAGTCAGAGTTTAGGGGATTGGAATTTAGAGATTAGAGGATTAAGGTTGCCCTCTGTGAATTAAAATTTAAGATCACCCCTCAAGGGTTTTACCTGCTGTATCAGCTCATTGAGCTTGTTGATTCCATTAGCAGGCAGACCTCATGGGCCCCGTATTCATAAGGGCCTGGAGTTTGAGCTCATGTTCTGTTGTTTCCCTCTTGAGATTCTTAGTTTTTGATCACGGGGCTGTGTTTTCATTTTGCACTCCTGCCTGCGGGGTTGCTCATCTGTGGAAACAGAGGTACAGATCCAAGCTTAGAAGTAGCTCTTAGGGAGAGTTGCAGCCAACAGGGTTAAAGTGTGGAGGCCAGAAGAGCTGGGACCCTCTGTATGGGTGTCTGTGGAAGCCTCTCGCTGCCCCGGACCTGATGCCACTAAACACTCACTTTATTAGGCACACTCTCTGCCTCTTAGCTATTCTCATCCAGCAGCCTTTTAACTGTGATTTGGCTTCTTCCATGGTCTTCCTGCAGGGAGAGAGCTGGTCATGCTGACTTGATTCAGGGCTGAGTAACTAAATTGGCATTCTGGTGATAGGCATCAGTGAGGTGTTTTCGTGGGAGCTTGCCCCTGAGAGACAGCCCCCCCCCTGCCCCGTCTGTTCAGTTTCTGAGATAGCAGGCTGAAGTCCAGGCATTATCTGGTAAATTCACCAGAGTCAAATGCAGAGCAGAAGAGGAGCTAAGAAGAAGGGCTTTGGGGCCAGCTAGACAACACTGTGATCAGGTGTCGGCTCTGTCCAACCCGAGTGTGTGATCTGGGCCAGGATGCACAAACGCTCCCTGCCCTAGCCTTTCATCTGTCAAGTGCTGATAGAAAACCTACCTTAGGATTGTTGTGAGATTGAATGAGAAAATACACACCAGGTCAGGGTTTCTCAAATGTAGTATGTTGACAGCTTGAGCCGGGTGATTGTGGGTTGTGGGGAAGGGGAGCTGCCCTGCACCTTGTAGGTGGTTTATTGGTATCTTTGGCGTCCCTCAGTAGCCTGCAGCTTCCCCCTGAGCACCCCCCAGTTGTGACAATCAGAGGGTCTCCAGACATTGCCAGATGTCCTCTGGGGACAGAATTGGTCTTGGTCAGATGTCCTCTGGGGACAGAATTGGCCCTGGTTACGAATCATTCACTCACTTGCCAAGGTGTATATAGAGTAATGCCTGGAGAAAAGAAAGCACATGTCAGGTTTTATGATAATAAGGGTGGTTGCGGCACCTGGGTGGTTCAGTCGGTTAAGCATCCGATTTTGGCTCAGGTCATGATCTCCCAGTTGGTGGGTTTGAGCCCCATGTCAGGCTCTGTGCTGACAGATTGGAGTGCCTGGAGCCTGCTTCAGATTCTGTGTCTCCCTCGACTCCTCTGTCTCTCTCTCTCTGCTTCTCTCCTGCTCTTTCTTTCTCTCTCTCCTAAGAATAAATAAACATTGGGAGAAAAACTTTAAAAATAATAAGGGTGGTACTAATGATATAGTAGTCCTGAGGCCTCTGCAAAGACATTTGTAAGCTGTCCACTGATCCTCTGTTCTTTTTTTTTTTTTTATGTTTTTATTTTATTTTTTGATGCAGACTGAGTGTGGGTGGGGGAGGGGCAGAGAGAGTGGGAGACAGAAACCGAAGCAGGCTCCAGGCTCTAGGCTCTAAGCTGTCAGCACAGAGCCCAGTGCAGGACTCGAACTCACGAACCTGTAAGATCCTGTAAGATAAATAAAGGAGTTTCCAAGCTCAAAACCAGTGGTATTTTGGTGATGTTTAATGTTGAGTTTAAATCATAAAGAGAAATTTTCTTCCTGGATCTCACTATATTAAAAATAAACAAATATGCCTAGCCTGTGAAGACTTTGTAATTATGGTTAAAAAGCCAACTGGATAAAATGATTGTGAGAAATAGGTCAGTGGTGTTAAGAAACTGGTGTAAATCAAAAAGAAAACCAGGGGCGCCTGGGTGGCTTAGTCGGTTAAGCGTCTGACTTTCACTTGGGTCATGATCTCACGGTTCGTGGGTTCGAGCCCCACGTCGGGCTCTGTGCTGACTGCCAGCTCAGAGCCTGGAGCCTGTTTCAGTCTGTGACTCCCTCTCTCTCTGACCCTCCCCTGCTCACGCTGTCTCTCTCTCTCTCCTAAAAATAAATAAAACATTTAAAAAAAAAAAAAAGAAAACCAAATGCATACAGAAATTCCTCATATATAAAGACAAAAGTGGGCATAGAGTCAGCTTACAAACATTTGAACATAGTTTAAAATGCAAAATAATATTTATTTGTTCATTTATTTATAAATATTTATTTATTTTGAGAAAGGAGAGGAGCTGAGGGAGAGGAGAGAGAGAATCCCAAGCAGGCTACAAACAGTCAGCACAGAGCCCAACGCAGGGCTCAATCTCACAAACGGTTAGATCATGACCTGAGCTGAAATCAAGAGTCAGATGCTTAACTGACTGAGCCACACAGGTGCCTCTAAAATTCAAAATAATTTTTAAAATTTTAAATAATTTTTTCATCTAAATTGGCAGAGATTTTATGCAGTAACATCCAATTCTGTTGTGTAGTTTAGAAGAGTCTTACACATTCTTTATGGTAAAGTCCCTCTAGAAGGAAGCTTGGTAATAAGTATGCCTTTAAAATTGTCATACCTATTAGCCCCCCAAAATAACATTTGGGAATAATTCTGATAGCATAATCTGAAATGTAGACAAATATTTATGCATGAAGATATTTATTGCAGCTTCTTTTCATAGAAGCCAGCTAAGTGTCTGGCATTACAGGAGTGGTTAATTTTAGCATATGATAAATAATTAGCAGTATTTAAAACAATTTTTGCAAAATGTTTCTAATGGCATATGAAATTCTTACAGTGTTGAAAAGAGTAGGCTTTATAACTGAGGATACAGTATAAACTCAACTCAGAATAAAGACTAGAAAGGAATATGAACACGTTAATCATATTTGCCCTTGGAAGACCGGGTTATGGAATTTAGGATAGGTACTCACTCATAACTGTATGGTTAAGTTGATCATCTCATAGCAGACTTAGACTTTTTTGATGTCTCTTCTTTGAGGAAATTTTAAATCTTGTGCATTTCTAGAGCTTGGAAATGAAGGCAGAACAAGTGAAGCTGTTTTCTCTGAATAACAGAAAGTAGAAAGCAATTGTCGTTGTCTTAAAGTACAGTTTTCTATTTTAATCAACTCTTCATAAACTGCAATAGGAAGTTGGTTTTGGGGTATATATACACTGCTTGCCCTGGATGAAATAATGTTGTTTTGTACCATGGTGCTTTTTTTGTTCATTTTTTTAAAGACATATTTATTGTAGTATGTTTCTTGATAAAAGAATCAAATGTCCATTTTTATTTTTATAGTATGTGCTGAAGCTTATAATCCTGACGAAGAAGAAGATGATGCGGAGTCCAGGGTATGTAATTACTAAGTTAATTTTAAATTGTACTCCTGTATTGAATCAAGAATGTAGTAATAAAAGATGTTAACAGGCATATTGATTACAGGAAGCATAATGTAAGTATTTTGACGGGTTTTTTTTCTAGTCTTTTCTCAGATACTTTACTTCTACTTCCAATTCTATAGAATTACTTTTCTCCAAAAAAAGTCTTTTTGTTTGGGTGAAAGGAAAGATGAACATAAACACCAGTTGTGGTTTTATTTCTTTTGCAAAAATACAGCCTGGGGATGGAAAATCCGGGCTGTGTTTTAGCTCTCTTTCTCATAGCGTTAATGCTATTTTTCTGATAGTATTTCTAGTTCAGAAAAATACTGGGAAAAGGCTTTTTGTTCCTACTAATTTATAACAGCAGAAGCTTATTCTGAAACAAACAAAATCACAGCAGAATTAAATCTCATGTGTCAGTTTACAGTTTCTTACTTTTAAAAATCTGTGAATCTTAATAGATTGCTCAGAAACCAATTTCTTGAAGGCCATCATGTTTTTGTAAGAATTTGTGCAGTTTTGTTTGAAGCAGTTTTTAAGCTATGTGCCTTCACTCTCTTCACCTTTTACTTATTTAGTAAAAAGTAAGCTAAATATAGGAGATTACTGTAACTGGAAATGGAAAGTATTAATTTCCTTTTTCTTTCTTTCTCTTTGTCTCTCTCTCTGGTGTTTTTTTGTTTTTGTTTATTTTTTGAGTACTTACTTGGGAAGAGCTCATTCTTTTTTGTTTGGCCTCAAATAATAAACAAAACTTTATTTCTTCAGTTCTGACAAATACTTAAATAAGATTGAGTTTTAATATGGAAAAGCAAATACTATATCCCTAAGTCATTACATAATTAAGCTCCCTGAAATATATGTAAAATCTAGCGGTAGAAAGTTCAAGGAGTCTTCTATTATGTGGAAGGTCTTGAAAGAAAATCCCACCTCGTTCTTGTACCTGTGGGGATTCCCAGCACCAGTGTTGGGGGGAGCTCACGGTTTGCCTCCAGAACTTAATTTGATAATGTCTACAAATTCTGGCCTGAAATTAGGTTTTCTTAGGATTAAGGTATTACTAGGATGTAGCATGCTGTTAGCACTTCATGTAGTCAGAAAAACCAGACCTTCTCCATTGTGTACTTGATTTATATATCTGGCAGAAACAATAATGGGTGACTTTGAAGAGTACATACATTCTTTACATTTGTTTATAGCTACCATTAGCTCCCTGGGACAGGTAAAGTGATTGGCTCGGTCACTCCAGTTAATTCCTAACAGTCTTATTTGGGAGGGGTGCTGCCAGTTATGATTCATTTGATTACGCCAAAGAGCCCAGTCACATTGAGATACAAATAAAAAAATATTGGGGAAAATTATTTGATAAATTCTTGGAAATCTTCTAGAATTACAAGAAGAATTAAAAAAAACCCAAAACCCAAGCTGTAGCTGGCGGACAGAAGCCAGCCCACGTCTGAGATCTCACCATGGCAGTGGTTCAGGACTTAGACCACTGTCATGGAAAGGGACTTGACTACCTATTGCTTTTTTGCTGCGTCTCTCAGTTTAAAGTCCCAGTTTCCCTGGGAGATTTTTTCACAGACCCAGATTTGGCTAGGGGGCCAGGGACAAGAGGTGCAGACTTAGCTGCTGGGCACCACTTTTAAGTGAAGGCAGTTCCTAGGCAAGGAAGAATCTCCATTGGTTGGGCATTTACCGCTGGTTATCCCCTGTAAACACCGTTCATGTTACTTTAAGTACTGTTTTTGTAAGTACAGATTTTCTCCATTGGGGTTGACTGTTCTCTGAACATGTTACTAAGAACTGCACTGTCTTTTTAGCCTTAGATACCAGAAGGCAAATTACACCATAGCACTTGGAAATGACTATTACAGATTACAAAATTAATGGCTCTAAGCAGATACTGGAAAATGTAAAGAAAACATATAGTATATTTTGATATGGCACCATTTCATTTGGAGGTTTTGCATTATGTCATAGACTATGCATCAAATCCTTAAATCTCAGATTAGTATAAATAAGTATTTATTCTTTGATATGAGTTCAAAGAAAATTTAAATACTTAAGATCGACGTAGGAAAATCACAAATTAGATTTTACCTTTAATAAATGAAAACACAGGGGCACCTGGCTGGCTCAGTAGGTAGAGCGTGTGACTCTTGATCTTGGTTGTGAGTTTGAGCCCCACATTGGGTATAGAGATTTCTTTAAAAAAAATGAAAATCTACAAGTTATCTATACATCTAACAGGTAGCTCTTCTGGTAGAGAAGAGCTGGTAAGCTTCAGAGTAGATCATTTCTAGCAAAGCATGCAACTCTTGAGTTTGGGGTCATGAATTCAGATCCTACGTTGGGTGCAGAGATTACTTGAATAAAAAATTTTTTTTAAAAAGAGTGGATCATTTCTTTGTCATGTTACTCCAGAGAATGTGGGGAGAGTGCCTTCTGTATATCTGGTGGAGTGCTGGGTTGTTCAGTCCTGAGCACCATGGACAAGTCCCTGCCATCTCCTAGCAGAATTAGATAATTAATTTAGCCAGTAAATTAATGAACAGTTGCAAAGTGTGAGCACTGAAAGGATAGAGACACGGGGTCTAGTAGTGAAAACAAACCCCAACCCCACATGACAAGGTCTCTAATTAAATGGAGTGGTTGCAGAAGGCCTCCTTGAGGTGAGACCAGAGGGTGGAGAGGGGGAGAGTCTTGCCCAAAAGCCCCGAAGCCCATTTTTGGTTGACCTCAGTCCCTCAGCAGGGGGCAGGGAGCAGTTCCCAGCGAAGACAGGTGTGACTGTGGAAGGCAAGTGTGGCCGCTCCCGGTAGTTGAGGTGGAGCTGGGGGAGGAAGGCAGGGGATTTAGTGCCCAGTAGGTGTGATGGCATCCATCGCGGTGCTCGAATTTAAATTTTTTAAACATCACCTTCAGCTCTATGTGGAGAATGGACTGGACAAGTGGGAAAATATCTTGTACAGATAACCCTTGCTTTACCAAAGTAGATTTGCAGTGTTATATTTAAAGAAAACATCTACATAAATTTTTTAATGAACTGGTTTTCTAATTATTTAATTGAAAGACACCCAAGATTTAGAGTTGGCAAACTTTTTCTGTAAACTTTTTTTTTACTGAAAAATTTTCTGTTTTCAGGTAATATTTTAGGCTTTGGGGGCCATACAGTTTGTCGAAGCTACTTGCTCTGCCCTTGTAGCTTGAAAACAACCACAGACTACATAAATGGATGATTGTGGCTGTGTTCTGCTAAAACTTTATCTGGCTCAATTGGTAGAGCATGTGACTCTTGATCTTGGCGTCATGAGTTCAAAATCAGTGTTAGTTATAGGGGCGCCTGGGTGGCTCAGTCAGTTAAGCGTCCGACTTTGGCTCAGGTCATGATCTTACGGTTGGTGGGTTCAAGCCCCGCGTCGGGCTCTGTGCTGACAGCTCAGAGCCTGGAGCTTGCTTCAGAGTCTGTGTCTCCCTCTCTCTCTGACCTTCCCCTGCTCACGTGGTCTCTCTCTCAGAAATAAATAAAAACATTAAAAAAAACTAAAAATCAATGTTAGGTATAGAGAAGAAACCAAAAAAACTTTATTTATGGACACTTGAATATGAATTTTAACTAATTTTCATGTATTTATGAATTATTTTGATTTTTGTTTCTCCCAATCATTCTTAGCTTAGGGACCATGCAAAAAGAAATTTGGCCTTCATGCCATAGTTTGCTGACCCTGGTTTAGAGAATAAATTTTGTAGTCAACCTGCCTGGGATGAATCACATAGTTCTGCAGCTCTGAACTTCCCTGACATTGAAGAAATTACTTGGACAAATTCAGAGGACAAAATACAAAGGACAAAAAACTGTAGTTTTCTTCCTCTGTTTAGCTTATTTTACTTAGCATGAATTGCTACCTGCCTCATGGGTTTGGTTACTAGGATAAAATGAGTTAATATTTTTAAAGCCCTTAAACCAGTGCCTGGCACATAATAAATGCCACGTAATTATTTGTGTTTGTTTTTGTTTTATGACTATTTGTTTAACAAATAAGATTTTATCCTGAAATCAGAAATAAAATTTAATAATTAAAAAAAAGAAAATGGCTTTTAGTAAAAGAAAAGTCACAGTTGGGTGTATTGCTGAAGGCTTAATTTTCCAGATGCAGATCTTACAAGTAGAATCACACCAAACCCAACAGAAAACAGTCTTTAGAAGCGGGGAGCATCTTTTGAGCAGTTGGTTACAGGGTGGAAGCACCACGGCTGCAAAGATTCACTGGATTTCTGACTGCTTTCCAGAGCACAGAGCAGGATTTTAATGCAGGGTCTGTTGTAAAAGATAAAAAAGACTCTGGATGCAGAGGAATGATGGTGGGGAGAGAAGACAGAGGAAGAAAGGGAGAGCAGTAGACGGTAGCGGTGGTGGCAGGATGAAGAACCAAGATTTAAAAGTTAACTCATAGGGCATCTGGGTGGCTCAATCGGGTAGACATCTGACTTTGGCTCAGATCACAATCTCGGAGTTTGTAGGTTTGAGCCCCACGTCGGGCTCTGTGCTGACAGCTGAGAGCCCGGAGCTGCTTCAGATTCTGTCTCCCTCTCTATCTGCCCTTCCCCTGCTCTCTCTCTCTCTCTCTCTCTAAATATAAATAAACATTAAAAAAATTAAAAGTGTTAATTGATAAAAATGAAATTAGTAGGAGAGAAAAGGAAACTGCTGTTGTGTGAGGGGTTCCTTACAGAGTGAATGGTTGGGGAGAAGGACGTAAGTTGATTACAAGAGTAAAACAGGTGCAAGGTGGTGCTAAGAAAGACAACTTGGGTGAAACAGGCACACTTCAACGCTTCATGAAGGGGGCGGTCTCCATTCCCAAGGGTCCAGAGAACTTCAAGATGGGGTGGAAGGCAGGAAGCTTTCATAGGATGAGGAATAAGGAATGAGGAAACAAGTATAGAGCCGAGGGTTGGCATGGCTTTAGGGATTGGCTGTGCTGTGTTCCTGGTGCACTGGAGTATTTATGGAGACAGGAAAGCTATTTAAATTGTGATTTGCCAACCTTGCTCCCTGGGTGGGAATGCCTCCATCTTGGGCCTAGAAAGGTATTTCAGCAAGGGTGTCATGGTATCCCCGACTTTTTCTCTCTAAGGACAGAGCTTTTCAGCAGGGAAACATTTTATGATTTCTTCAGTGTGAAGTTCTAGTTGAATTTTGTGAAGTGAGAAGTGACTTATTTGTTTGTTTTATTGTGTTATCCTTCCTTATTTGAAGTAGGGAGATAGGAATTTTGGTTGGCATGATGTTTTTTTAATGCCCAGATTTTAAAAATTTCTTACAAGCAGTTGGCACCAGGGTCTACTTTTTCTGTATCCATATGTCATCTTAGAATCTAGTTTGAGGTGAAGTTTGCATATATCTTACCCATATGGGAAAAAATGCAGTGACTTCCTGTCTCACTGGCTAATACTCTTTTGAGTAGTATATGAATAGTCACAGACAGACATACCGGGAGTTCATTTCCAGACCACCAAAATAAAGTATATTTTGCAGCAAAGCTACTCAAATGAACTTTTTAGTTTCCCAGTGCAGAATTATGTTATGTTATGTTTACACTTTATTTCAGTCTGTTAAATGTACAATAGCATTATGTCTAAAACAATAACATACACGTCTTAATTAAAAATATACTTTATTGCTAAAAAAATGTTAACCAGCACCTCATAACTGACCACAGATCTCCATAATAAAGACAGTAATGAGGAAAAGGTTTGAAGTATTCTAAGAATTACCAAAATGTAACAGGGAGACAAAGTGAGCAAATGCTGTTGGAAAAATGGGGCCGACAGACTTGCTCAACACAAGGCCGCCACACACCTTCCATTTGTAAACATACCTGTGAAGCACAGTAAGGTGAAATCAGTAAGACAAGGAATGCCTAAATACCATAAATTTCCGTTATTTCTTTTGGGCCTGTGATTTTCATCAGTTTTTAGCCACCCGAGATGGGTCTGAAGCACCGATTCTGATTTCCCGTTGTGAGTTTCGGTATACGCACGGGCACAGAACTCACTTCTCCTGGCTGTGGCTGGCCTGACCCGGGACCGGTGGGTGGCCGAAGGGGGCGCTGCATGTCGGCTCCCTTGGCCACCCTTCGCGCATTCGTATAGGAAAGGGGAAAGGTGGCGTCTAGGGGTCCAGGGTGATGCCATGCCCTCTGCATGCAGGACCGTTTCTTGCGTTTCCACTCATTTTCTAGTTACAAACTATCGGTGTTCACAAAAGAGTGGGCCTTTTGGTTCAAGTTGGGTGAGCCTTCTGCTAGTTAGAAGGGACTCCAGAGAGCCGACAGGCCACCCTCCAGCGGGCATTCTTTTGGTCTTCACGCCCCTGGAATGACAGTTGAGGAAGAACGTAGATTCTTCTCTGGTTCTCCTTGAGCTCATTCTACACTGAGCACAGCGGGACCATTGGATTAATTTTCCCTCAGCTCCACACTCCCCGGGCCTGGCGTCCTGCTTTGACGGAGTCCCTTGGGGAAATCACCCCCTGTGGGGGTAGTTAGGTACGTTGTGCATAGAAGTATATTTAACATCTGATACAGTATACGTGTAAGACTGTGTTAGCTTCTAGAGACTACCAAGTTTCGAAGGAAAGACCAACATCCTGAAAGACTGTCGCACTCAAGTGGTAGAGTGTGAAGCAGTATCAAAGGCTGGCGAGAGAGTATTCCACAGAATGAAGGCAGCCGGCAGGTCTTCAGTGCAGCTGCTGTGACCTGCTGGCTTTTGTGTGTTCCCGCTGGCTGGGAGCTTTGGGGCCTTTAGTCATGAGCCGATCACAGACCTTTACTAAATGGATTTGCTAATCTGGGGGAAACACTCCTTTGAAAACCATTCCAGCCGAATTGATGAACACGCACCGCTTCCCAGAGACCAGCTCTGTTACTTTCCCTTACGTAGGGGGCTGCTAACTGGTGTCTGGCCACCTAAAGTGAACCTCAGCACTGACCGTTCTTCTCGCCAACATCCCGCTGGGACATTTTACCCCTTATGAGTAAGAGGAATAGACTAATTGTTAATTTGGTATCCTTTTAGATTATACATCCCAAAACTGATGATCAAAGAAATCGATTACAAGAGGCTTGCAAAGACATCCTGCTGTTTAAGAACCTGGATCCGGTAAGACAGATCTCAGTAATCAGAAATGTTTTTTTTTTTTTTTCCCCAGCGTCAGAGTGAAGAACTGGGCAGGGTCTTGGACTTTACCCTCGTTACAAGCTGGCATCACCCGGGGTGATGTGAGGCCCCACCGTGGAGGCCTGCGTGTGCAGTGGGCTGGGTTCTAGGAGCGCAGCTCCAGGCTTCACAGGTGCTTTGTCGCAGGCCTGCCTGCACCCGTCTGGGGAAGACACTGTCTCATCCCTCGAGGCTCCTTGTTACAAGCATTGCCCTGAGAAACAGCCCAGTTGAGAGAGGGTAGGACCTTGCATTCTTTGTATAGCCAGTCAAAGGTGTAGCATGGTGCAGGTGAGGTGGATTGCCTCTCTTACCAGCTAGTAAGAGTAATTATATTTTTAAGGAGAAACTTGTCTGTTACACATATTTTAAAGGTAACATTTTACTTGACTTTCAAGGAGGGGGGTTTCTTTTATTTTTATTTATTTATTTATTTTAGTAAGGATTTCGAAATCTCTGGTCTTTGGTTCTGGGTGGCTTTCTAGAACACCCTCTTTCAGTGTGAGTGAGCATGCTGTCCGCATTTTGCCCTGCATTCTGACTTAATTGTTCTCTTCCTTCATGACAGATTATGCTTCTTCACTGCTCTGTGGTCATTTGGGTTACCATGATCCTGCCGCCATGATCCAAATGTGGGAAATGAGTCAACTCTTCTAGCTTACTCAACTTTTTTTTTTGTCACATGCAGCATCTATTAGAGTTTTCAGATTGATGTCCTGGTGAAGAAAGCATTAAATTACACCTACTCTTTTAAAGATAAGATCTTCTGAAGGGCATTTTTATAAAGAGGAAGGGACTGTATTATACCAAATCTTCTACACTGGGTCATATGATGCCCTGAAACATTTTTTAAAAATCCTTTGTTTTGCGGCACCAGGGTGGCTCAGTCCCTTAAGTCTCTGACTTCAGCTCAGGCCCTGATCTCACGGTTCCTGGGTTTGAGCCCCACATTGGGCTCTGTGCTGTCAGTGTGGAGCCTGCCTCGGATCTTCTGTCTCCCTCTTCCTCTGCCTCTCCTCTGCTTGCACTCACTTGAGCTCTCTCTCTCTTTTTCTCTTTCAAAAATAAGTAAACATAAAAAAAAGATTCTTTGTTTCTAATACCACATATGTTTCTTTCACATCCTCCAGGAACACAGATTATACTTTGTGACTTTGGAGATGTTGATTTAGGGCCAGATGTTAAAAGTTCTTGTCTGGTTTGACTCAGGTCCTCTAGAATTCTTACTGAATTTGCAAAACTATGAGCTCTAAAGAATGGGGGTGTTGGTTGTTAATGAAAAATTAAGAACCTAAGAAACAAAACTTTAGGAATTCCATTTAGGAATGGAAACATTTTCTTGTAGTATTAACTACTAGATAGAATAAATGACTAATGGGAATTTGTGAAATTTTGATGGGCTTCCAAATAATCACACATTTCATTTGTCTAGAATGGTAATGGTTCTTTGAAATAAAGAATGCTTAAACTATAATTTCTTTTTTTTAATGTTTATTTATTTTTGAGAGAGCACAAGCAGGGAGGGGCAGAGAGAGGGAGACAAGAATCTGAAACAGGCTTCAGGCTCTGAGCTGTCAGTACAGAGCCTGACACAGGGCTTGAACCGGTGAACCATGAGATCTTTTTTTTTTTTTTAACGTTTATTTTTGAGACAGAGACAGAGGACGAGCTGGGGAGGGGCAGAGAGAGAGGGAGATAGAATCTGAAACAGGCTCCAGGCTCTGACAGCACAGAACCCGATGTGGGGCTCGAACCCATGAACCACGAGATCATGACCTGAGCCAAAGTCGGCCGCTTTAACCGACTGAGTCACCCAGGCGCCCCGAACCGTGAGATCTTGATGTGAGCCGAAGTCAGACGCTTAACCAACTGAGCCACCCAGGTGATATTAAACTATGTGATTTCTAATGATCTTCTACCATTGCGAGTCCAAATAATTATCAGTGGAAAAATACAACTTTGGGTGTGTATGGGGGCAGGCACTGAAATTAAACAAATTTAGTATTTAACTCTTGTCCATCACATACGTGTGGAAGAGAGCTGTAAAATTAATCCTCAGTTTTCCCCTTTGGGGTAGGCTTCAGCTAAGCAGATTCTCTATTCTTCAACTAGAGCTTTACATGGCAGAATTTCAGAGCTCACTGAAAACAGTGTCTCTCATGCTGTGCTTTGCCTGTATATCATCGGAGGATCTGGTGAAAAATGCAGGGTCTGCTTCAGTGGGTTTGTCATGGAGCCCGAGAGACTGCATTTCTCACCGACCCTCAGGTGAGGCTGACGCTCCTGGCCCACAGCCACACTTCCCTGAGCGGAGACTAGGGCCAGACGTGAAAATGCTCTTGTTCAGGATTTTGGCACTCTCACCTGTTATTTTGTTTGCATACTTTCCTATTGAACTGAACCCACATTTTAATGCATCAGCAATGTCTAGACATTGCTATTCAAGTGCCTATACACTAAGTGATAAACAGATGGGAGTGAAATAGCTGTTAGGTATGCTTTCCTGAAATGCTTCCTATTCTGTTCTATCTAAACTAAGCTTATTTTTCTTGCCATTTCAGCTTAACTCTTCTAAAGCTCTGTGCAAATTGCATTTAAAATAATAAAATTACATTTAAAATAATTTTTAAAAACTATTGGCTAGTAGATTCTGGCAAGGAGCATCTTTATTTAATTAAAGTGATTATTTTTATAAAAAGTAAATGTTTTTAGCATTCTTTTGCTTCTTTGTTTGAGGTCTTATATATTTTAAAGGCCAGTTCATAAGGGAGGGGGAAAAAATGAAGAAGCCCCTTCACAAAATTACCAAGTTCATGAATTACCATTATTGAATATTTTATAGGGAAGAAGCAAATGTATTTACATTGTTGCTTCCAAAACATCTTTTTAAAAAAGTTTGAGCTTGAACTGTCTTGATTTATTTCCGTACTCTCTCAGATCCTTCTGGGAATGATGTAAAATATAGATGAGTAAAAATGTTTTTTTCTCAACACATTTCCACCTGGAATTAAAAAAAAAAAACTCCCCAAACATGGCAGTTTGAAGATTTTAGGCTAAGCTTGTGGTTTTATTTATTTATTTATTTAAATGTTTTATTTATTTCTAGGAGATAGAGAGACAGCGTGAGCAGGGGAGGGTCAGAGAGAGAGGGAGTCACAGACTGAAACAGGCTCCAGGCTCTGAGCCGGCAGTCAGCACAGAGCCCGACGCGGGGCTCGAACCCACGAACCGCGAGATCATGACCTAAGCGAAAGTCGGACGCTTAACCGACTAAGCCACCCAGGCGCCCCAAGCTTGTGGTTTTAAACAGTCTTCTAGTTTCTCATGATCCACATTTTTTTCCCACAATAACGCATGTGCATTTACCTTGAATGACATACCCGGCTCCTGTAACCTGCCTGTACAACAGCGCCCTTCAGTTTGATGCCTTGACTGCATACTGTGCTCCAAAGTCTGTACAAAGCGTTGGATGCCACAGAAATGCTTGGTTGTTGTCCTCTTGGAACTTAACAGTTTGACGGGGGATCCCGATACCCACACCAAGCAATTTGGTGAAACGTGGGAAATACTATAATGCAGTCAGGCTGTTGTGAGAGGGTGAGGGTCTCTCAGCCCCCTGAGGTTTCAGGAGGCTGGGGAGGCCGCCTGAGCTGAGCCTCAGAAAATGGGTGGGGTAGGAAATTGGCAGGGGAAGAAGGCGCAGAGAGTGTTCTCACTGGAGCCCACGGTGGAGGACCCCCAGCGGTGGGAGCACGGGTGTGTGTGCGCGCGCCCTGTTGTAAAGGACACGGGTCACAGAGGTCTCGACCGGCACCCTGCAGCGTTGGCCACGTATTGAAGGCAGTGGGAAATCACACTTGAAATGTTTGAAGCGGCGAAAGTATAATTAAATGTGTGTGAGGTTACTGTGGAGGCAGGATAGAGGGTATTAGAGTGGGAAAGGGACTTCGGGAAGGGCGAGGGGGTGGTTTCATAAAATGCTCAGGATTAGCAGGAGCGGGCACTTTTTAGGTACTGGATGATTTGTGACGTGATGCACCAGGCCTAGGATGACTCCCTCCCCGAGTCTCTGCTGGAATGACCGCGAGCTGGTACCTTTTTCTGAAATGGGAAAATTTCGAGGAGGAAAGGGGGAGCAGTAATTACTATCTCGCAAGAAGGATGATTAGGCTTTTTATCTAGCATCGCACCTCAGTTCCCTGAAGTCATTGTTTAGCCTGGAAATCTTGCACCTCCCTGGCCTCTGAACACTTTTTCCTGCGAATGCTGTGTGTGCATAGGTTGAGCACAGCATTTGTAATTATTAGTCTCTTTGAAGATCTCCTTTTCATGAATATTTTAATGCTCGGCTCAGTAGGCCATTTTTCTTCTGCAATATTTCTAATTTGAGGCAAACTGAAATAATTTTCCTAGGCTCTCTGATAGGTTCTTTCATTAACGGAGAGTAAATTGTTGTTTTTGAAGTGAGTCAGAGACCTTTCACCAAGCACAGCCTTGGGTCTGCATTCCATAGCATAAGCTGTGGATTTCTCACTGTGATTGTCAGTTGCTGGGAAAGCCTCTGCATATTAAATGTTTCCCAAGTTCTTTCTGCTCTGCATAATTATGGGTAAAGTGCATTTTGATTGATTAGAACAGACACCTGTCACACTGAGAAGTTCTAGAAGAAATGATTGTTCTGTATTTTGCCAGGAATTACTTTTCTATCTCTCTGTGTGTGAATTCCTAAGCTTTATAATGTTCTAACATGCAGCTCATTCCAAGATGACAAAAAATAATGTTATTTCATTTTTCTCTCCCATTTGACATTTAGAGAAAGAGCTAATCAATAAAGCTGGTATTCCCTCTCCTTCTGACCTTAGAGACTTGGAATATAAATAGTAAGCAACACAAAATATTAGTAAACCATTTAATCAAACCGTAACTTTGGTAGGTTGACCATA